AGCACTTTAATTTGAATCAAAAATCTTAAAATTGTTGAAAAAGTGTCAAAGGCGGGTTTTCCTAGTCCACAACCCATATAGTTACGGCACGTTACGGCAAAGTTACGGCATCATTGGGACGATTCGCCTGCACCTCTAATCAACAGGAGCGACCGTTCAAATCCGTAGATGATTCCTATACAATTACACGTGATTATAACCAATCATATCTCGAGTTTTAGCAAATCGGCCAATCAGACAAAAAAAAAGTTGTGGGATTCACGGGGATTCAAAGAATATGTTATAGAGCAAAGCAAAAACATTAGTTTATCCGTTAAATTTACACTCGTTTCATAGAAAATTAAGATGCTCTAGCTTTTAAAGAAGTGTTGTAAAATGTATCAAAAAAATTATTTATCAATCGTGTGACTATATCGGAATCATCTACGAATTTGAACGGTCGCTCCTGTTCCTCTAATCCGGATATAAGGATATCCTGGCTAGGGTACTACACCAAAAATTTTAACTTATCCAACAACGAGTCTCAATTTGATGTAACGTTACATGAGCAAACGTTCGCTTTTTAAAATCGGTTATTTCTCAAAATTTCGCAAAATAAACCACTTGCGCTCTAACAAAAAAAATTCCTTGACCAATTTTACTTTCTGTCCTGCTAAGTTTAATTTTATCGTAAGCACTAACCCTAACTTAAACGAACTTAAAGATTTTTTGTGCGATATTTCACTTTCACGCGACAGTAAAATTTTTGGTGATGACGCAGGGGAAGATCCCGGGCAGTGAAGAATTTCTGGAAATTTTTTTTTGTTTTCTGAGAACATAAATTAGAATTTCTGAAAATTTTTTTTTGTTTTCTGAGAACATAAATTTTAATTTTTAGGTTCTTAAAAAAATTTTCAATGTTCTCAAGGGTTCTTAAAAGATTATTTTATAATATAATTTACAAATTTTATGTTCTCAAATAAGAACATAATTTTTAAATATTGTGTTCTCAAAAATATTTAAATGTTTTTGAGAACACTGCGAACATTAGATACTCTTCATTGATTCCGGGTAGTGTTAAAATTTTCAAATCGCCGATTAGTTGTAACTAGAATTGCTGGTGGAACTAAATTGTGCTGCTGAAACTGGTGACTATCTAAATTCTGATTGGCTATTAAGTGCAATAGCCAATCAGATTTTAGATAGTCACCAGTTTTACCAGCAACTCTAGTTGTAACTAATTGTCACATGTTTTTGATAAATTTGATTGGTTAAATAAATAATCACATGTTTTTGTATCAATTTGATTGGCTAAAGAAATTTTTAACATTTAAATTTTATGTAGATAATCAATCAACGATTAGTTGGTTAAAAATTTTCCAATCGACTAGTTAACTAGTTGTCAACTAGTTGATTTTTCAACTACCGATTTGGATCACTAAATCCCGGGCATCACTAATTTTCAGACCAGACCTTTGCATTAAGAAATACTAACCGACTATTTTTAAAGCAAAATTATGATTTGGGCAGCCTTACCAAAATGAGTAAGCTATGATTATTATTAGAAGAAATAAAACAAAATCAGGATTATTCAATTGATTATTTTGCAGAGCATGGTGGACCAACCCAAATTTGGTAATAATTATATTAAATAACCATTTTTTTCAAAAAGAGTACTAAGAAAAAGGAGGAAATTGGCAACAAAAATTTTTTAAAATCAAATTTTATATTATAAATTTTATATTAAATACAGATTTCAAAGAGTTATACTGCAAAATTTTATTAATACAACCGTTTAAGTAAAAAATAATTTTGATCTTATTTTATACAAAAAAAACAATTTTTTGAAAAATTGTCAATTTCCCCACCTAGCCTATATTATTTAGAGTAGAAATTAGTAACTTTAGGTTTCGAATTTTTTGTTTTTTGATAAAAAAAAAATTTTCTTTAGAATTTTTTTCGAATGCAATTTTATTCTTAGTTGATTATGCATTCGATATTAACCGTCAGAATTCTGTAACCAAATTTTATAGGATCGTTCGATATCGTTGCTGAAATGTGAATTCGTTTCTTTTAATGCCGTATCGTCATTTATTGCAATGTGTCATCGATGTGTCATGCTAAGTTTCTACTTTTGGCTTTGGTGCAGTTTATGAAGCCATGTGCTGTAAGTTCGTTATATCATGGAAGAAATTCATCTGATTAGTCTGTGTAGATAAGTTGCAAGGTAACTAATTTATACATTTTAAAGCATTGTTTGAGAACGTAACGTTTCACTAATAAAAATTTATTTTTGTTGCCTCAACGGACTGCCAACATCTATCATGCAAAAGAATCCAAAAACGATCCAACTCCTGGAGAACTTTGCTTAGAAGATGGAATATACCTATCATTCATTGATCATATCAAATTATAATGTAGAATAAAATAACTGTAAACGTTTTTGTTCGCGATTATGTTGTATTATCATGTCAAACTCAAATAAATTTTTATCAATTTTAATTTGAAAGAGTTTATAGAAGATTCGAGTTAGTGTTTGGATCTATTGAACAATTCATTTGATGAGCCAATGGATATCCGACTCCTTTCATTTGTTTGGATCTATTGAACAATTCATTTGATGAGCCAATGGATATCTGACTCCTTTCATTTGTTTGGATCTATTGAACAATTCATTTGATGAGACAATGGATATCCGACTCCTTTCATTTGGTGGACATTTTTGATACATCCGAAATTAACTCAAGCTTGTGTTGGGGCGGATGGAATTAATGTGACCATTAATTGTAACTTTGATATTCACAAATTTTTTCAGATTTAGTTCGTAACCGGCACTAATCCGGATTTTATTCTTAAGCATGTCAGATTTTTAATGTGCTTTTGCCTATCAACCATACGTAATAAGGTAGATTTTAGAATTTAATGAAGTGTTTAATAACGGTTTAATTACATGGTACTTTATTTTTTTCAGAGTTTATGATTTAAGAAATGGGTTTTGCTTAAAAAATAAAAATAAAAATTATAGTAGTAATAAACGGTGCTGATACTTTTTAAGAGCTGCTGAGAATTCAATAATTATTCTGAATTGCACAATTGTTACACCAAAAAAAAAAAGCTGCACCCCAAAAAACTTTTCTAGTTAAGTAAATTCTGATAAGCAGTTTGCATCACCAGTACCAAATTTACAAGTTTGACTCAAGTTTAAATTACAAATAACAATGAAGGTGTACAATTAAAACGTCTGAAAGTAATTATGTTGGTATATTCGAATACAGTGTAAAGATCGAGGCTTAAATGTCACTTAACAAAAATGAACATCTATGTAAGGCGTCACTTGCATGATTATTTCTAGTTCTATGAAATTGCATAACACGTCAAAATAATTGTGAATATGATAAACGTATAGTTGTAAATGCTAATGCTAAAGTTTTATATTAATTAAGTTTTGACATATCCGATTTCCTAAATTAGTTAACAGAAACCAGTTCAATTAACTGAATTCGCAAAAAAAATTACAAATTTTAAGAATTGCATGAATAAAGATACCTTGGGCGGCCAGGTCTCCGTCCGCTTGGGTTACCAACGCGGGCTGGGGACATGTGATTTCCGTAAACTATCGATTCTTTTTCAACAATGTGTAATGCAGGTTTAATGAAACTATTATGCACACTTTTTTGCCCAGTCAGTCCTAAAGCATCGTTCTCACTGAAAGGTTACACGAACATTTGGTCATCACGTTTTTAAATTTTATTGGCTATTGAGCATTTTGCCATGTTTCAGTTAAAGAAATAGAAACGGAAATTCTTTAACTCACATTTCAGCGTCCGCTTCAGTATATCCTGCAAAATATTTTTTCGAATTTCTATTGACATGATACATGCGCGTCGTTGGATCATAATATGGTCCACGTTGTTTTCTAGCCCATATTAATAAACCGTTCCTGATAATTTTCAAATATTCGGAAAATTGTACAAATATGACAACAAAGTTCACACAGTAAAAAAAAAAAAATATATATTACAAAAATGGACCCCATTGTTATGACAAAAAAAAGGCTTTTTCTTTTTTGTTATCAGACTTACCATTCTAAATTATTTAGAGGGGGTACAAACCAAAATAAGGGCCAGAGAAGTTAAAGTCAGGAGGGCATTTTTAATAATACATTTTTTAGTTCTAATTATAAAAAAAAAATTTTTTAAAACAAATAAATACCAGCTGTCGCTTGTCTTGCAGCTTTTCTTTTGAGATCTTTCTTGGTTTCTAGTGGTTGTTTGTACAGGTTAGAACACGAGATGAAGCCACTTTCACAACGTTCAAGGTAAACCTTTACCACAGCCCGAAAATCTCGTGAGAAAAAAAATGACTGAAAAATACCTTGTACTATATTCCTTGCAAACTGTGCATTAGTACTTGCTGTGTGATTCTTTAACGTTGTTTGTTTTGGGATCTCATTCGTAACAGTATTTGTTATCATATTGGCGCGCTTTCGACTAAAAGATGACTATAAAGTTTTCGTTATAGCTCCGGTTTCTGGTTTGTTTACTTTTCCGAGTGAGACGACAATCCTTATAATGATTATTGATTATGATGCATTTATGCAGGTGTTTTAGCCTGATAAGGCATAATTGCGTTACGTCATTGCCGCATAGAAATTCAATCTTTTAGATCAGTATCTTCTTAATGACATTCTTTCACAAAACGACCTTGCGGCTTTATCTTTTTCAAGTAAAGTAACACCAAGTTTCTAATTATAGAGACAAAAATGTCTTTCTCACAAGTTACTAATCCTGCCCATACAGAAAATGAGACAACTGATAACACTATTGAAGAAAATAATACACAGTCCACAACAGAAACTGTGACTACAACTGATCAAACCTTGGATCAAGAATCCAAAACAGTGACTGAGTCGTTAAAAACGGATCAAGCTTCCGATTGGCAGGCCATTTGGGATGATAATGTTCAAGCGTATTATTATTGGAATACTGTCACAAATGAAACAACATGGCAAATTCCCAACAGTATATCATATACAGAAGGCTCGTATTATCAATGTCCTGCAAATGACCCAACGATTTCGGCTGACCAAGCTGCTAGTACAGCAACAGCAACTGAAGAATATTATCAGTATTATTATGCGCAATATGGGTATTATCCTGAAGGTTATTATTATGGCTATGATACAGCCTCCACTGCTGTGACTGCTCCTTCTGAACCGCCGAACCCATTGGAATCCATCCTTGATAAAATTGATACTGAAGTTAAGTCAAAACTTGATGGTAGTAGTTCTTCATTACCTTCTTCCTCATCTATTTCTCAACACAATGAACCCAATGAGCAATCCCAAGAACAAGAAAAAGAATCTTCAACTTCGGACACGAGTGCTTATTATCA